CAATACATAATACATTTTCGTTTTAGAATTTTACCAATAAGTTTTTTTCATTGATGCAACTGTCAACAATCGTTTAAATGGACTGATTTACGATCAAACTCTAAATTTTCAAAATGCCTAATTTGCATCTTGACCACTGACGTCTTGATAGAAAATTTTGCTCTTCATTATTTACATGCTTATTCCTATGTAGGCTCGTGGGGCATAATGAGACAAAACATTTATTCTCTCTTGCTTCCCCATTTAACTGAAGTTTTATTCATTTTGAATGACAGATTTGTGCAAGCAAACTCGCTTGGCCTTCCACTCCGCAAGCCCCACTGCAAGGACTTTTGGGAATAGTCATGTTGCTGCCATTGTTCCAAGCGAATCCAGCTCAAAGTGTGCTGCCACCAGTAAGAATTTCGCTTCGTCCTCTGAGGGCTATCCGCTTCTCACGGAGATTTTTTTCCTTGCCCAGACAGCACTGCACATCGGCTGGGGTGGCCTGTATAGCCTTCACATGGACACAAATCGTCATTTGCACCAACTGGAAACGCAGTGGCGAGCCTGGCAAGAGGAAAGAGGCCTACTGGTCGCAAATAGCCAATCCGAACCAAAAGGTCCGAAATTTTAGCCTTTTTTACACCATACACATGCCCATTTTCTTTTATATGCTTTTTGAGTTACCAACATTAACCTGAAATGCCCCTATTTTATCTCTTACATTCTCTCTGTTTTGGATGACTAACTTATTATACATCTCTTTACCTTCTCTCTTTCTTTTCTTTCAATAGTCCCCAAGTTTATTCACTTTTTAACTTGTTCACACCATATTTAATGGTACATTTTGGCATAGTGGCCCTCAATTTGTAGATTTTATTCACTTGATCCTGCAAGCAGTCTAGTGTTTCGTTTTAATACGGCAGTGTGCTTCATGACTACCTGAATGGCCACACTTCACACAGGTCTTAGTCTTCTTATATGGAACAACTGACCTTAGTTCAGAGTGTATCTGGGGGAGGCGGGGCATTTGGTCTGTTTCTCGGCGCACTAAACTTTTACACCAGGTTGGTCCAAATTCAGTTTGGAAACTTAAATTCTGTTTCACAGTACATTCATTTGCCGAGAATTTTCCAAGAGTCTAATATAGGCCGGGATTATTAATTCGTTTCTACCATTTAACAATTTATATCCAGTTTGGAGCTTACGGTCCGATAAGCTGCTCGATAATCACCATTCTATGCCTATCTCTTTGGCAAAATTCTGTGGAATTGCCTCATGAATTGTTTCCACTTAAGAACTCAAGCGAAAGTACTTAGGAAAGACTCCTGTAAATTAATATTTGCATCAAACTTTTTACTAAAGTAAAGAATGTGGACCAAC